GCTGGGGGGGCAGGAAGGGGGAGAGAGGGGGTGCGACCCCACAAATAACTGGTGTTCAGACCCTTCGCTAGTGGCGGCGAGCAGCGGGGATGCTGCACGCTCCTGACATTTCACTGTGTGTGTGTGTGTGTCGTGTGTGCCCCCCGCCCCCCGGCTCGTAGGGAGTGACTCAACGGCAATCTGCTTTTTACTCCACCTATTAAACCAGTCTGCCGCCATTTCGCATGCCAATGCCCATGTTTGGGCCAATTAGTGCTAAACGGTACTTGCGTTCCGAGCCCCCGGCAGCCGAGCTCCCTGGAGAGCGCCGCGGCCGGGCCGGTCCCCGCGGCGTCGCTCCCGGTGCCGCCTCCCGGGCCGATGGGCAGCTGGAGGTGAAGCCCCCTTGGCAAACAGTCGTGCAGCCCCGGTGCCCGCGGCGTGTCGTTTTTTGGGTTTTTGGGTTTTTTGCGAGGACAGGCCCCAGATGAAGGCTACTGGCGAAGTCGAGCCCTACTTCTTTCCGGCCTCCTCACGGCTCCGTCTGCTCCTGCGGGAGCGGAGCCGGCCGCGAGCAGGCGTCCCGAGGGGAAAGCTGCCCCTTACTCTCCATGAGAGACCCGTCACCTCGGTGTGTCTCTTCACACGCGGAGGGGCTCTGCCTTTCCGCGCCTCGGACAGCAGTGGCTGCCAGCTCATCGCTAAACTGGGCGCCAGGTTCTGCAGAATGCATACATGCCGTTATTGTGATACTTTAATAATTCTACCAATCTTTTGCTTTTTGTCTGCAGAATCAAGTTGCTATTGTAAAGACCCACTGCTTGAAACTTCCCCAAGCCCAGTTGCCAGACTCATGATGCTGCAAAAACGTCAATACATACTGCCACCAAACTGCTCAGCTCTGCGTTTCAGTGTAATGACTCTGGCAGAGATGCTGTTCCAATAGGCACGCAGATCAGTTGCAAAAAAAGAGGGCAGCCTCGAATCAAGGTTTATAATTCATCTGGAATGAAGAAAAAAGTTTGAGAGTAAACTCCATTTATTTTGCAGGCTTAACTTCTTAATTTGTTCTCCAACCGGTTGTAGGGGTGTGCACAAGAGCACAGTTGTCTCTGTCCGTGTTGGTAGCGTAGTTGTACTTCTGCACATCTGTAATTTCTTTCTTGCAGTGGAAGGAGTTACTCCCTTCACTTAGGAGGCCAAAAGGAGAAAAAAGCACCTTTTAAAATAGGAACGTCACAGTAAATTCTGTAAATGACTCCTTTAGCTGAACATGTGTGAGAAGTGACAGTGTGCAGAAGTTATATTTGTATTTCAAAACAATAGCAAATGCTCTAGAAACAAAAGTTGTAGACCTCTTCAACTGCACTGCATACCTGTAGTCTGTCCTCATAGCTGACTTTATAAAGTAAATGCTTCTTGATTCTACTCCATTACTCAAGAGCAGAAATCAAGAAGTCCAATGACCTTTTCCATAAACTAGCTGGGAATAGAAGTAGCAGTTTGATGTTGTAACCATGTTTTCCATTTTGTGTTGGTTGCACACCCTTACCGCATGAACCACTGCAAAATTTATAATTCTCTAAGTACTTATATTATTAAGTGTATTTTGTAAAGAAGTGAAGCAGTTTGCCCTTTCAGAAGAGCAATTTCACCTGCAAAATAAATACCCATGAATCATGAATTAACTGATGTTAGTGAAATTTCTTGCCTCTCTACTTCCCCCATTTTTTCTTTTCTTTTTTTCCCCCCCTCTCTGCCTCCCCCCCCCTTGGACCTTAAGACAGGTCTATACATACTCAGCAGAGTTTCAGGATATGGTCCACCTGCTGTGATAGAACTGCATTGATTGTTTCTCTTATGTGTAAATGAAAATGAGTATAAACAATAAAACGCTTGACTGTGTTCTCAAGAGTGGTAGCAATTGTGTGATTGAAAGAAGTATTTATTGGTTTATCTGGTTTCTCAGTATTGACTTTTTAGGTAGCACTGATTTGATGAGTCACTCAAGAAAGCAACTGATAGAAGTTGAAATTGTGATCTTCAATCAGTAGTTAATTTTTTAACAGGCAGCTTTACTTAATTGTAACTAGTACTGTTAGGTATAATACTTACTATTTTCATGTAGTGTCAGAATAAAATTTTTAGGGTTTTTTAAACAATATTTTTCTTACTCCTTTAAAAGCAAACAAAACTTATTTTAGCACTTGGTGGATACTGAAAGCAATGTTCTTTTAAAACTCTATGTATGTATTCTAAATGTGGGCTGTTATAAGACTGAAAAAATCTTACATGACTTGTCTACCTGCTATTCTTCAGAGAGTCATTCAAGTAATAAGGATTTATTTACCTAACTGACTATTAAAGAAAGAACCTTGACCCTCTGTGCTTCTGAACTGGTCATGGGCAAAAAGAAGTCTGTAAGATGCAAATTAAAGCAGTGGAAATTAAGCATTTTCAGTACTTTAAAGAAATACAGAAAACTTGCCTTAAAATTACATACCTCAAAAAAGAGACCTACTGTAGTATGCTTCAAGAAAGTACCCTCTTAAATTATTAAAGACAGATGTGATTAGAGGAATTTTCTAAAACACTATCTTCTTTGATTGAAATGCTTGTATTCCTTTTAAGTTTAATTTTTTTTGCATCTATAGGATGAAAAAAACAAGGAAGATAACATAAAACAGTGCTTAACCTATTTTCATCTGTCGTTTTCTGGTTATGTAGAATGAATTTTGTTTACCCCAAATACTTTCTCACCAGGCTTCTTGTACATGTAAAAAATGGAAAATGAAACTGTAAAATGAGTGTTTTCAGCATTTCCAGAGGCTTGAGTCTTGTCTCAGTTTTACAAAGTTATGGGACTTGGAGAGCAGCGAGGTTCAGGAGTTGGGCTTTGTGTTCTTCACATTGTTGAATATACCTTCATCTTCAGCAACTGGCAGCAAATACTCCCAGCTCCCTGTTGTGATGTAAGGATTTTGCTGAGAAACTAATTCGTCAAGAAATTATCCTTCTAAGTTTATGCTGAGGCTCTGAACTTTTTGCACAAGTAAGCATTTCAGACAGCCATGCTCTCTGCTGGGACGACGGTGTGGAAGCTTCACTGAGTAACTTGGGGCCAGAGGAGAGGAGGCTGAGTGGAGCCCTGCTGAGATACCTGCTCGTTAAAGGCCTTGTGCTACTGGAGCAGCAACATCTTGTTCAGAAAACCATTCCCCCAGGGAGATAGGTAGAGTGAGGACATGCATCTGTTCGCAGTGAAGGAGAAGAAATGTAGGGCAAATGTTGCTCAGTGCCAGAAAATATAAATATGTAAAATGTGTTCCAGGATTCGCATAGAGTGTTTTAGGGCAGGTAGAGTGTCCTGTGTCTGCTTCACTTCTCTGTGACTGGCAGAGTGTGTCCTGGTTGAACCTAGGTTTTAAA